AAGGTTAATGAGTCTGGCGATCCTTTGTCGTTTGACCCAACTGTTGCAACACGAACATCTGCTTCAGCTGTAATTTGCTGACGTAATTATGAGCCTGTTAACATGCTGATCCTATTATTTAACTCCAAACATCACTGAGTATAAACACAACCTCACACTGAACTTCAGATTTTCCAGAGAGAAAATGAAACATACTTTTCTTTCTTGTTGGTTTAAAACACAGATTCACTCACAAACCGGAACTATGATGGAAAAACAGCCTAAACTTCACTGATATTCATCATGAGTTCAGGATAAGAATCTAAGTAGAAACATATAGGATGTTCGATATCCTATTTTTTACCAATAACCCGTGCACCGGAATAGTCTAACTCTGATTTCTGGTAATGAAATAAACTGAAACCAATACATGCGGGGTCCTCCTTTTTAAAAAAAACTAAATCATGTCAGGTAGCTATCATCACATATCTCCTACCATGCAAACATGAACTTTAACATCGTCTGTGTAAAATATGACAACTGTTTCAAATGAAGTTAGGCCAGCTGTACCAAACAATCAAACATGTCTCAAAACTTCACCAGGATCTGTCACGTACCTGTATTACCATCAGGTCAACGGTACAGGTCACATAAAACCAGGTCAAACAGATTCAGGGATAGCTTCTTTCCCAGGGCGATCTCTATTGTAAATAAGCATAAAAACAATTAAAACTGCTTAGCGACTGTCGAGGTCACCGTCAGCTATTATGCTGCTATTCTAATGCCATTTTTTACATGATATTGTAGCTGCTATTCTGTATATATTGTGCTATTCGGTATATGTTGTACTTACTATTGTTTTGTTTTAGGGGACCTTTTATATTTAGAAGTATTATTGTATTGTGGACCAAGGGAGTGGCACTCCAATTTCGTTGTATCCTGTACAATGACAATAAAGGCTATTATTATTATTATTATTGTTATTATTATTATTATTATTATTATTATTATTATTATTATTATTATTATTATTATTATTATTATTATCATGTTTTGGTATTTTGAGTGAGAGGAGAAATAGCTGAACAGCTTGATGTATAATATGTGCATGTTGTGTAAAAGTGTGTAAAACCTGCCATCAGTCATTTCCAAATTTTAAGTTTTAGTGCCAACATCGGCCAGAAAAAAGGGATTGCAATATCTGAAATCTGTGGACGAAATTTTTTATTATGCAGAATGTTGTAGAGACTTGCAGTTCTAATTTATATAATAGTGTCAAGAATTTCTTTTTTCCAAATGGAGACAAGCTTTTTAAGTACTTTTTGTGATAGTTCGGTTAACCAGAACAGACACAAATGTGTTTACAGAAGATATCTGGGCTGAGATTGCTCATCCTAAAAGGAAGAAGCAATCCTAAACTCTTTTATTCCTTTACTCATCATCCTGTAATCATTTAGGAATTGCTGCTTCTTTACCCTCTGGGCATCTTCTTTTTCTTTGTTTTAACTGGAAATATGATCCAAAAAGAATACATAATTCATACAAATTTACACAAAACTGGGCTGAATCAAATTTAAAACGTGTATTTAAACTGCAAAAACAGATTTCAAAGAAAAAAGCCTAATTTTTAGACATTTAATATTTTTTTAGTCTAAAAAGAAAATAAATGATTTAGAAAAACAGCAGTACTTAAAAAAGGTTTAGTTTGTTAAATATTCTTGTTTTGATCAAAAACAACCTGCCACTGAGGTGAGTGAAAGTTGCCTGGCTACAATTCTTAAAACTTGCAAAATAATCTAAATTTTGATGTATTTGCTGCACTGACAGGTTTTTTCTATTCAAAACAAGAACATTTGGATCATATTTAACAATATTTATCTTATCTTAAATAACATAGTTTTTTCTAGAGAATGCATTTTATTTTAAATAAAAAATAAGATGAAATGTCTAAAAACAACAAATATGATCATGTGACCCCTCCTGGCAGCTGTGCATTGGTTACCGGTCGCTTTTAGAGTGCATTTCAACATTCAAAACCAATAATGACAAACTGCATTTTCTTTGACTGAAAACAGGAAAAAGTTGTGAATTAAACAGTTTTCAACAAAAAAATAAACCTGCATTTCTATCTCATTTGTTTCTCTGCTGAAATAAAACAAATATTCACACCCCTCTATTATACATGATAAACATCACAGGCTAAACTGCTCAGTCTAAATTTAGCTGAGGATGTCCGCGGCGAAATGAGGGTTATGACCGGTGGAAACATTAAAATCTCGAGTGATTACTGGGTAGACTGCAGCTCAGATAAATAGGGTCGGCTGTCAAATTCAAGTGCTCCATCCAAATCAGATAAATATTCGGCCTTAGTATGAGAAAATAAATTAATGTCAGCGGTTCCTCTTCGCTCGAGGCAGTGGTCACCAAAAGCAACAGCTAGCTCTGAAGAAAATTGACATGACTGAAGCTTATTTTAAAATGAATGCCCTCCCTGAACCAAAATAGGGGTTGACTCTGTAAGTACTTAGATTTCCAATTCAGATACTCTATTCAGGTGAGCCTAAAGATTACTTCCAGACACAAACATTGGAATGCACTTGTCCAGACTTTCCTGATCTGCTCACATCAATCAAACTGTAACTATTCAAGTAAAAGCCAGATTTCTAGATGTCCAGATAAACTGTGCACAGGGAGAGGTGAATGCTTTTGTGTCCAAGTTACTTTTGATTTATTGGCTTCCTATAAAGCTCGTAGCTGCCAAGCTAACCAACGCTTGAGTGGTTTTTCAGTTCCGAATGATTTCTAGCAGCGAGAATGTCGACATGAAACAAAAGAACACGTGGTCATGACTTGGAGTCATGCTTCCTGATATGTTGTGGGGACATAAATCAAATTAACTGCAGTTAATGGGATTAGAGCAGGAACACGTTGTAGGAGACATCAATCTGGTCTGGAAGTCTGCCATGGCTTTGGTCCTTTCACATCTCATAGGGTCTCTTTGGCCAACTGGCAGAGCTGATGCTCCACTATAATTTACAGTAATGTCTACCTGTTTCAATCCTGCAGCACTGACTTCAGTTGTACACATACAAGCTAATGTGGAAATAAATTAAATTGTTGTCAAATCCAGTTTGCATTAACTTGAGATAATGTAAATAAAAGTATTTATTTTATTTAAAATAGACTAAAAACATGAAAACTATCTCCTCTGAATATTGTAACAGTTCATGCAAAACAAGTTCGAAAGCAACTTGTGGGCAGGATTTTGGTTTACTCGTATATTTTGAAGTGAATGGCATGAACGTGAGGAAAAATTAATACCATAACTAATGCAAGAGACTGAGCCCTTAAAGGCTAGTGCAATTGAGATTATATTTATCTTAAAGCAACTCTAAACACTTTAAACTAGTTTCAGTGGTTCTTGAGTCGGAAACTTGAGCAACTTGACACTGGACAGCACTCTGCTGCTCTCTACTGACCAGAAACTGTATTTAACAGTTTTGTGTTTTGAGTAGGAACACTAGGGTGTTTCTCAATGTTGAGAAGCCTTCCTTACAAGGACACTATCCTTCCTTGGTCAAAGAAAACGGTTAAATGGAACAGACTTATATCTCGTGACCATGGCTTCCGCGGCGGTCACATCACGTAACATGTGAGGTAATGTTATATTTTATATGTATAAGTTTTAATGTAAATATGTAACAAGACTTTTACTTTTTAAATTGTGTATGTACTGGTTTAAGTTAATATGTAAGCGAGCTATTACCTGCTAGCGCGACTCAGTTGCGAATGACCACAGTCACCAATTCTTGTCATGTGTCTTGCCCAGTATGTCTGATCTTTGAATTGTGTGTACTGAAACTCTAATTTCCCTTCCCTGGGACAAATAAAGCTTTTCATTTCATTTTCATTTTCTTTTTTTTTAGCCACCTTAGCTGCAACTACTAAGCAACTAACCAACCATAGATAAATGCTTTGATAAAAAATATATATATGTAAACATTTCATATATTATTAGCCTGGTAGCTACAATTAGCTGACTTACATTTAAATTGGAAATTTGCCCCTGAAGTAGCTGCCGGCTCCTGATCCGCCATTCTTTCGAAAATACCGCGCTGTATTCCGGGAAATTTTTTTTACCAAGGCCAGGCTACAAGGCAACTCCCAAGAATCCTTACTCAGCTAGCTGATTGGCTAACAAACGGAGTACAAATACCTCAGTAGAACATGAACATTGGAACATGTCTTGGCGGTTCCTGATAACGTATCTCCTAGGCAACTGGGGCAGGACTAAGACATGAATGCAAGGTTCCTTGACATTGAGAAACTCCCTATAGGTCTTTACCTGCTTTACCTTTACTGTGGCAGTAGCTAATACAAAGACTAGCAGTTAGCTTTTTCAGTTCAGTGACCTTCAACAAAAAGCACAAGAAGAAGAAGAATCATGGCATCATGGTGAAGCCTCGAGGAAAAGGTAAAAGAGTAATATCTTTGGGGGTGAAGCATCGGCATGGACTACACTTGTTTAAGGGAGCTGAAGGAGGCTATGAAGTCACAGACTGATGGTGACCTGGCTTTGTTGCTACTGGACATGTAAGAAATAATATTTGTCTTGACTAACAATGGACATTTTTACTTCATGGCTTATTTGTAATCAGTTGGCCCATGTTAGCGTTCCTACAGGGTTCTTTATGACAGTTGTGATTCCTTTTTCAACCAGTAGGAGGGAAAATGGTATTGTGTCTATAACTAATCACAAAAATTTCATTTTGGTTGGTTTCTGCAGCAAATAATCATGTAAAAGAAACTACAAATGGGTTGAAAATGATCAAACATGTTTTTTGTTTGTTTGTTTTTTTAGGACAGCAGTAATGACTTTATATAATTGTGATAATTAAAATTGCCATCAGTAAAATAACGATCTCTAACATATAAAACCTTCTACCTCTAAACTCTGCTTGACACTTGCCAAACATGTTGAAAAAGGAGACATTTAAAATAAAAGACATTTAAAATTCTGGTAAATTGTAAAATACTGATATTTTTATTTTTCAAAAATGCAGCAAAAATGTTTTAGGCTTCTCACAATCCAGCCATCCGCTGAGAAGGTAAACCCATTCGGAAGAAAAAATAATCAATCAAACATAAATGTTATTTTTCGATCTTTTTTTTTTAAGTTCTTTGCTTTTCATTAATTTTTCAGCTGTTTACATATTAGACTAACAAAAATGACAATGAAGGAGTTACACAGGATGAGCAGAGGTTAAATAGGACCTTGTTGTGACAAAGTATTCACACTGTCAAGGCTGGGCGGGGACAGAGGGGGGTCAACAGGACAACGGTTAAGGGCGGGGGGGGGGGGGGGGGGTACTGAGGACAATTACTAATGCTTCAATTTAGGGCCTTTGGTTGAGTTACTGGTTAGAAACAAGTAGGAGACAAAAGTATTAGAAAATGTGTAAATATCTACTTAGAGTTGGATTAATTTGGTACATGTGACACATTTGTAACAATTTTTACACAAGACAGAGCCATGTTGGGGCATATTGTAAACTATTAGCAAAATTTACCCAACAGCTGTGCAGATTTTCTTGCAATTAAGTCACAAAGTGTTTTAATTATCCCTCAGTTTGTTTGCAGTTAAGCCTACTTTCAATATCCCCTTTTGAAAAGTTGTTTCAAGTTTTTTCTCACTTGCACAGAAGAATTTGGCAACTCTGCGACTATTCTGAGAGGACGTTTTTCTTCCAGTAATGTGAGAAAATTGCAAATGTTTTCAAGACACTTTGGGATTTAGATTGTAAAATCTGGTCAAAAACAATCAAAACCCAGTGAGACACAACCTTTTATCAACAGGATTTGAGCAGAACAGATTCTATAAATGGTTTTTTAATCGTAAAAAGCAGTAACTACTATGGCCCTGATGGACTCACAGTGAAGTCAGCAGTAGAAATACCCATTTTAAAGTCTGTTCCCAGGACAGTGGTTTGAATTTGAATGCTAGATTTAGTTTAGTTTATTGTGCGTCGTGGTAAAGTTGGAACAAAAGTAAGATTGCTCCTTTAAGAAGGTATTAAGGCATAAAAGGCAGCATTCTTGGAACCATGTTTGCTCTACAGTGTCGGGCTTTAACACACAGCTACGTCCTTTCATTTTCACTCAGCGACCCCCTCATTAATCATGCCTTGATCCAAAAATCGCAGGAAGTAAAACCAAGGTCCAGACCTTAAAACTTCAGGTTTTTAGGGAATGAGGGGAGTATAATTACGGATTCAGCACAGCTTGGCAAAAATGGTTTAATCAAGGGCTTTGAAAAGGACAAGATCTGAGTCAGCATTAGGCAGTTCAGTCAGGGGCACTGTTGAAAACACACAGGACCCCTCATGAAGTAGGAATTCAAGGTAAGAGAACTCATCCTCAAGTTTTTGAGACGTTCTGTAATATCGGGCCCCTTTAATCATCACCACCTGTCTGTCTGTTGGGTTGCCGTCTGTCTGACCACAGAAACAACGATAACCCCTACTTCACACTGAAAGCATCGGCGAAGCAGAACACCAGCAGATCGGTTTACTCGCAACTTTTGCTGCGGTCCAGTACACATCGAGAGAATCTCGGCTGCAGAACGGCTTCTTTGCCACGCTCCTTGCGTAACTCGCGAGATCGAAAAAATCTCTCGAGTTTATGCCCTCCTCCATTAAACCAAAAAGAAGGAAATCACGTTTGATATCACGGCGATGTTGTTCCTCTCCCCTACCAGGGTTAAAGCCATTAAAAACACACTGGTGCTCTTCTGGAGTCATGAGTAAATAAGCCGTTAGGTCATGTGTATAGACATAATCTACTTAGAAATGAAATTGCATCGCTGCAATAGGCTTTTATTTTGAAATTACCATGGGTTTTACACTGAACGGTGTGTGATTTCCTGTCTTGCCCTATGTTAACTGTGGAAATTGTCACACCCTAGAAGCAGCTCGTGGCAAAAATAGAACCCGATCCTATCTTTAGAGACGGGGCACGAGAGCCGCTTCTGCGTGGCGGCTGGTTTGAATCACCCCCATAGATTATAATGGATTTTAATTGGAAGCAGTGGCGTTCCGCACCGCTGATGGGTCCAGTGTGAAGTAAAGTAAGAGTTGGGTTAATAAAAGGTAAAATTGTTTAGGGGGAAGGGGGTTAGAAACAAGGGGTTGGGTTTCTGGCTGGTGCTCAATCATCAAACCAATATCGCATTATCTACACAGTACTAGCTCATAGTATAATGTAAAAAAATCATAGTAGGCAGAACGATGTGGAAAATGTTCCATACCCCAGCGGCTAAACAAGTACCTAGATGCTCACAAAGATAAAAACATTAAAATGATGTGCATAGCAAATGTAGCTTTATATCGGGGGGGGGGGGGGGGGGGGGGTACTGTGTACATACTACAGAAGGTCAGATAGAAAGACAACCAGCCTCGCTTTAGGACATCTATACAATAATATATTAATATCTGAAATGAAAGCAATAATGTGGTTAAATAACTTTTAATGCAAGAGCAGGTAAATGCTATAAATCATAATATATCATCTGTATCTTTCAATTCTATTTACAAGAGTTTGACACATAGCTGGTTAGATAGATTCGTCAGAGAATCTGGCAACACTTCTGAGGCCCTTTTTTATTTATTTTCCTCCTTCTGAATCTAACTTCTGTCTCTTGGCACACTTTCCATGTCAGTCTTTTTCACATCCCTCCATCTTTCTACATTTTTCTTCTCGGCACAGCTTTTAAATCCCGCTCAAGAAACGCTAAATCTCTTTCCCACTATCGGACTAACTTTGTCTTCAACTACTGTTGTCTTTTTAATCCTCTCTTTCTGTTGCTTTTGTTTTTGTTGTTGTTTTTTTTTACATCCACTGCTTGCTTAAAATTTGTTCTTTTGTTTTTGTTTAGTTTTTTCTCAGCGTACTTGGATCCGTGGCAGATAGGGCCTTTGATCTTTTTAATGGAAAAAAAAATGCTACATTCACATTTTAACAGGTTGTTCAAGTTGACATCAGCAGTCTGTGTGTGGTTCCCTCTCAGCTCATCTCTACATATTTAACTGATCTCCTTTGTCCCAGCGCGGCTCTTCGGGTGCGGTTGAAAGTGAGCCGTCACTGAAACGTTTGTGAAAGCGCTCGTGATCTTTCGCCTCAGGTGTAGAAAAAGCGTATTTAAAATCCAAAGCGGGTCTTGAGACACTCCTCTCTTCTGAGTTATGAGATGCATCTCCAGGGATCCAGTTTCTCTGCAGCTCCCCATCATGCAACACACAGATGTCTGCTTCTTCATCCTCTTCCTGAAAAATGTCTCTCTGTTGGTCCAGCTGTAACAATCCTGCAGGGTAATTAGTAGAGGTATTTCAGTCTGTTTTACATGTCTGTCTGTGTGTGTGTGTGTGTGTGTGTGTGTGTGTGTGTGTGTGTGTGTGTGTGTGTGTGTGCATGCGTGTGTGTGTGTGTGTGTGTGTGTGTGTGTGTGTGTGTGTGTGTGTGCGTGCGTGCGTGCGTGCGTGCGTGTGTGCGTGTGTGTGTGTGTGTGTGTTCCAACTGTAAATATGTCCCTGTATGTACGAGTAGCTGGCTGTGGTTATACACGTGTGGTGGAGTGTGTGTGTGTGGAGATGTGTGTGTGTGGTAAGTGTGTGTTACTAAATGGGCTGTGGTGTGTGTATCCCTGGTGGGGGTGCCCCATCCTCATCCCAGCCACTGATCCAGGTGTCATGGGCGTCATTGGAGTCGCAGGAGTGACAGGGTGTGACCCCGGGGTCACGGGGAGCGAGCCTGGGGTCAGGGAGGTTATCAGGGGAACGTCGTCCGGTGACCGGCGTAAGGTGAGTGTGTAGTCGGGAGGACATGTGAGGCGCACAGTGTCCAGTGTGCTGTAGATGTCTTGGGTGTCCAAACCGTCTAGAGCATCCAGAGTATCCAGAGTGTGATGGTGGTGAGCGTTGTTTCTCTCGTCTGCTGATGCGACATCGCACTCCAGCTGCTTCACCTGAAGGATCGGTGGAAGAGAGGAAGTGAAACTAAGAAAATAAACATTTATAATGTATCACCAAATCTAGAGTTGAGGTTAAATCGTCTCTTTCCCCATAACAACAAAACGGTGAGCTTCCTTTTCCCAAAATGGTGCTTTAGCGACAGAGCGTGGCAGCAAGACCCAGCTATGATGGTAACTCGTGGATTGTGAAAATAGGCCACCTCCACACTGGACTGATGAAAAAATGAATCTGAATTTCAATCAATACTAATCAGTCAATTTAAATCTATTTCACAAAGGTGCTTCTCTGCAGAGCTGCAGAACAGACCGCAGCCCTCATTAACACGCACGTGCCTTTTCTAACCTTTAAAGTCAAAATGTCCGCTCTGGACAAAACAATCAGTTATTCATTTTGCAGATTCATTTTCTGAAACGAGTGACAAACAATATTGAATTTTTTCCACATTTCTTTACATACCTTATATCCCATAATAACAAAACTTCTTCCTGGCAGGGTTAATCAATGCACGTTAATGCACATAAAAGGCATTCCACAAAAATAAGCAGTGTTGCAAATGTTATCTGATTATAATCTACAATCAAAAAAGGAAATGCTGAATTTACTTAAGGGTGTTATGTCAGCTGGTTTCACCAAACCTAGTTATGTGCACATGGGTCAGATAATCGATAAGAGCTATACCTCTCGTAGCGAAGCCGGTTGTATGAAAGTGTGACATGAGCTGTTTTACGTATATAAATCATGACCGAATGGATGTGTTTGATATTTTTTTCTGTTCAAATGAAGGTACCACGTTAAAAGAACAGCTGAGAAAAGAAAAGAAAGCAACCCATGCAGCTGCGGCACTGAGTTAATTAGTTTAACCGCTAATTATCAGGATTTGTTAGCTGCAAAAACAAAATCAGACATTTATCACTCCCTGTGTGTTGTTTCAAACGAATACAAGAGGAACAACAAAACTTGAAAAAGACAAATAATCAGTTAATGAATAGAAGGCAATTGGAAGCAAGTCAAGAAAGTGTACACCACACACACGCACACAGACACACACACACACACACACACACACACTCGCACACACTCGCACGCACACACACGCAAGCACACACACACACACACACACTCGCACGCACACACACGCACGCACAAAACACACGCACACACACACACTCGCACGCACACACACGCACGCACACACACACACACACACACACGCACACACACACACTCGCACGCACACACATGCACGCACACGCACGCACGCACACACACGCACGCACACACACACGCACACACACACACTCGCACGCACACACAGACACGCACACAGACACGCACACACACACACGCACACACACACACACTCGCACGCACACACACGCACGCACACACACACACGCACACACACACACTCGCACGCACACGCACGCACACACACACACGCACGCACACACACACACACGCACACACACACACACTCGCACGCACACACAGGCACGCACACAGACACGCACACACACACACGCACACACACACACTCGCACGCACACACACGCACGCACACACACACGCACACACACACACACACACTCGCACGCACACACACGCACGCACACGCACACAGACACGCACACACACACACACAAACGCACACACACTCGCACGCACATGCACTCGCACGCACATGCACTCGCACACATGCACACACACACACACATGCACACACACACACACTTGCACGCACACACACACGCACACACACACGCACTCGCACACACACACACTCGCACGCACACGCACGCACACACACACACGCACACACACACACAAGCTCATTCTTTTAAAGTCTCCTGACAGGCTGTGAGCATTAAGCGGTGCCACTGAGAGTCCAAGAGTTAGTCGTCTGTTAGCACAAGCTCAACTCATTTAATGTTAATTATTAACAATGATTATTTCATAGCAAGACTTATTACAATGTAGAGCTCAAGCGTTGTGAAACGTGAACACGGCTCACCTGCAGTGACATCAGTCCCTCCCCTTGCAGGTGGGCTGCAACATCAGCAGGTGTAATGTCTCTTCTAGGAGGAGGAAGAGGGCGTGGTCTACGATGCTCCAGACGCCTTTTGTCCTTCTTATAAAGCAGAGCCGCAAATGCAAGAATATTGAGAAACAGCAGCGAAGCTCCAACAGCAATCGTCACCGACAGTTCAGTGGAGTAGTCCTCATTAGGGACACGAACGCCGTTTTCCCCTCCATCCTGTCCTAAAGCTGACTCCGGAGGCTGCGGCGTGCCGCCTTGTGAACCTGGATGGCGTGTGCTAATAGGAGGCCAACCTTTGGATAGACGTTTAGTGTAGGAGTAGGGGGTGTCATCCTGTGGAGAGGGACTGTGCGTAAAGGAGGAGACGGATTGGAGGAGTTCGTTGACATGATGCAAGTGGGGAACCAGCTGGAGCCAGAAGGAGATTTTGGTGGCTCGGTAGTGGTCTCTGACGCGAGGCTTCAGGCCAATGTGGAGGTAATGCTGCTCTTTAGGCGTGTACTTGGACCAGGCAACTTCCTCAAAACGATTAGGTTTTGTATGGATGAACTTTGTGTCCTGTGGAACTGGCTGGTTTGGATCTCTGGTGAGAAAAAGAACTCTGGGTAAACACACACACACTTTTGTATGCACATTTTATTTGGAAGCAAACGCATGTGATCATACATAAAACTGAAGTTTCTGATGTGTTATCTCCATAAATAACACAAGCCTGAAGGAGTTCTGCTGTGTTGTGGGGCTGCTAATGCTAACGGTTAGCTTCTACTAGCTGTCTCCTGGATACCAAATCAACAGCCTTCCCCATTGTGAGCCAGCATGGGTGAGGCCATGAATGTGAGCATGTCCCCGTCTATTTTCTATCTGCTTTTAATGAGGGAAATAGGGGTAGAAGACTATTTTTATGTTAAGCCTGCATGTAAACCTCAGAGTGGCCGGTCGTATTTGAAAAATAACAAATAAGATGGTTTCTCACTAAAGCTGCTCTACCCGATTTCCAACTGAGCAAAAAGCATTTCACTCAAACCCTGGGCGTACACAGAGCAAATAAAATGAGATGACGCCGTTTCATTCAATCTGTCTAAATTTAAGCAAATGATTCAGTGAAGATTTAAAAAAATGTGTGTTCTGCCATCTTTGGTTCAGATTTTTATTGGAAGCTTTCCAATAATTTATTCTTTTGAACTTCTTAAATGTCACGGGGCTCTAGAAGAGCTTCTGAGAACTTCTTAGCTGCCAGCTGTCCTCTGAGGATACCGAGTTTCTCTCAAGCTGGCCAAGAATTTCACAAGACATCTTTCCAATCGATATCAAGGTGACATGAAACAAATCAGTGGCAGCTAGTATTTTCTCAAAGGAAACAAGCTTTCTTTCTTTTTTTTTTGCTCCCACTGAACATAACTCAGAGATGATTTATCTGTAGATCGCTAACTTTTGTCTGGTTTATTTCCTGGTTCTGATATTGTTTTGATGCACATTTAAAAGCCCCTGCAACGTAAACATAACAGCTGATGGATGGGCGATGAAATACCTCGCTGTCGCGTACAGACAGGTGTTTATTTGTTGTACAAAATGCATCGGTGCCAGCAGCTAAAACATTAAAAATTAAAACAGCTGCGCATTATTTTTTCAAGCGTGCCCTTAACATAGTATGTGCTCACTTGTCAATCTGCACAAACTGTATGAGCAGCAAAAGAGGACCTACCAGCACCCAGGCACACGCACAAGCTGGGAATTTATACACCCACACAGAGGCTTACAAAATATACATCAGGGAGCGTCGTCTCTCCCCGGTTCAATTGAGCTGTCGCAGAGTTCCATCATCATCAGAGGCGCTCTCAGCAGAGTGAAATCTCTTTTCACAGAAGGTTCCCCGTTGATAATTGAAGTGTGGACCAAACTCTTCACATCTCCTCGTGGTGGTTTTGCACCACAGCGTGCTGCGGTTGTAACGACAATACAGGCTGTGCTGGAAACTGCAAACCTAATGTGACACGAGTGTGTTGCTGCATCCGCATTAAAGAGGGCTTCTCCTGTGTCCCAACATGTGAGAGCACTGTGCTGATTCTTTACGTTGTCGGGCCGCAAGCCTCTACGGCTGTTTAGATCGAGGTCTATGCTGCGGATGTCTCTATAAATCTGAACAAGTCTCAGAGGAGTGAACCTCAATTGGATTAATTATTGGTAATTACTCACTTCTAGCACAGCAGAGAGAAAGTCCACCTCCAACAATTACTTTTATCTTGTATTTCAAGTCGGAGAGAAGAGATAAAAAAGGACTCTTATCAATGTGCACTGTCAGGTTCGTGAAGTTTTAATATGGATATTTTTTTCTGCAGCATTATTCTTGTTGCTACTGGCGGATTTTTTCATTTTCAATTTAATAAATTGAATATCGTAGCCGGAAAAGGGTGGCTTGCCACCTCCGGGTCGGGGGAGAGGTCCTACCTCAAGTGGAGGAGTTTAAGTATCTCGGGGTCTTGTTCACGAGTGAGGGTAGGAGGGATCGGGAGATCGACAGGCGGATTGGTTCGGCGTCTGCAGTGATGCGGACGCTGAGCCGATCTGTCGTGGGGAAGAGGGAGCTGAGCCAGAAAGCCAGGCTCTCGATCTACGTCCCAATCCTCACCTATGGTCATGAGCTTTGGGTAATGACTGAAAGAACGAGATCGCGGATACAAGCGGCCGAAATGAGTTTCCTCCGTAGGGTGGCCGGGCTCAGCCTTAGAGATAGGGTGAGGAGCTCGGACATTCGGGAGGGACTCGGATAGAACCGCTGCTCCTCCGGATCGAAAGGAGCCAGTTGAGGTGGTTTGGGCATCTGGTTAGGATGCCTCCTGGACGCCTCCCTGGGGAGGTGTTTCGGGCATGTCCTGCCGGCAGAAGGCCCCCGGGTCGACCCAGGACACGTTGGAGAGGTTACATCTCCAATCTGGTCCGGGAACGCCTTGGGGTCCTGCCGGAGGAGCTGGTGGACAAGGCCGGGGAGAGGACGGCCTGGAGCTCCCTAGTTGGGATGCTGCCCCCGCGACCCGGACCCGGATAAGCGGAGGAAGACGAGACGACGAGACGAATATCGTAGCTGCAGGCGGTTCTTTTCAATTTAATTTTTTGTGTAAACTCTCACGCCGGATTGGTGTAAACCACAAATGAGAGAAGAGAAGGGGAGGGTGGGGGGTGTTCTTAACGAAGATCAAAAACAAGAAGAAAACACTCGTCAGGATTTTGACAGAAAGTCTGTTTGCATCTTTGCCAGAACGGTCCGCAGCGATGGTTTCATTATGTTTAAAGAGCAAGTCACCCACAAATAAACTTTTTTTTTTGCTGATAAACTAAATAAACAAGTGTTTAATCGTGCTGCAGACACGTGTCGTCAATAATTTGGTACTTCAGTGCATCTTAGTTAAAATTTAAATATTCTGCCTAAAACTGTCAGTGTTGTGCCGTTGTCAGGTAAAAACTGCACTGCATTTGAATTTAAATCTGCCACCGCTATTGGCTAAGAGGTATGCTATGATGTAAACTGGTAGATTATGATGTCACAATGCTGTCGTGAGCCTGTGTGTGTGTGTGTGTGTGTGTATTTGTTAGCGGCTCCGCCCTCTCGGTCTGCCAGGCAACAGCATTTGTTGCATTTTTCAAACATGAAGTGAGAGTGGAGTTAGACTCTGGTAGGGGTTGACTTGCTCTTTAAGATATTGTCTTTTCATCACATCTTGGAGCTTTTGAAGGAGAAAACTAAAATATATCCTTCACCTGTCAATTCTTTTATCTTTATTTTTGCTGTTTGCTTCTTTTAACTCGGTTTTCTTTACTGCTGCAATAAAATTCGGCCTCATTTTATGAAAATGTCTCTTACCAAATAGAAATCTAATATCTCATGAAGAAGGGAAGCTTTACACGTCCCAGCAACTAGCTCTCCGGTCTGAATCTTGATCAGCAGCGGGTGTTTTTATGCATCCCTTTAGTGGATGCTGACGCCTCATAGCACGGTTGCTCAGTCCAAAAGAGAGACATGTGCAAAGAAAGTGGACGGATGAAGCTGTTGATCTTAATAACAGCGTTGTTTTATTTCAAACTTGGAAGAGGTTTGGTCCTGTAGAGTCCAGGGTGAGCTGTCCACACTTACGCCACTGCATGATGCCAAAACCTGTTCCAGTAATGCCATTAATATAAATGAAAAACAAGGAACACTCAGTCTCCTTGCTGTACTTTTTACTGCATTTTAAATAGTGATTAATTACCCTAATCTTTATGAACTGTAGTTGGATGTTTTCTATGAGTGGAAGTTGAGCATAAATACCAAAAAAGCATCTAATGAAATGAATCAATGTCTTGCTTTGTTTGTATTGATTTTCCTAACAAAATCTCGGTGTCATCGTGATTTGTGTTCCAGTCGGTGTCTCACATCGGGGGATATTTTATTAACTCACCCAGTTTTGGCAAAGTTGGTCCAATAAGTCATGACCACTGCGCTCAGCATCACGTCGTTCTTGGAGAAGTTACAGTTGAACAGATCAGTGGGACCAACCATGGGCACGCCGAACACATAGGGCACCTATACGCGCACACACACACACACACACACACACACACACACACACACACACACACACACACACACACACACACACACACACACACACACACACACACATTACATCCTTTCCCTGGGCAGTTAATGCAATTAAAGCTGCTTCCTGACAAACTCCTAATAAACTTAAACTAATCTACAAAGGTTCTTTGTTTTAATCCCAAAAAATGATAAGAGTTGAAAGAAAACAGAGTTTAAAAGGATATTTGTTCGTACTACATTAAAGCAAATGTGTATTTCAATATATGGTGTGAAATTATGGAATAACCTGGATGATGAATTAAAAAAATGTACAACTACTGATCAATTCAAAAAAATGTATAAAGATAAAATGCTAAAATCGTATGATTTGGTGAGTTGAGGATGGAGGATTAATGTTTTAGTAGTGATATTATTTGTGGAAGTAAGAGAGCGGTTAATTTTTTGTGTATAAGGCTATTTTGTACTTTTTGTTATTTATCTTGTCTTAGTTAAAGGGGGTAGGTCATATAAGATTTTTTCTTCTTCCTCCCCCTATTTCACTCGAATGCTTATATTCTGATTTGAAGTTTGTATATTGAAACTTTGAGTGAAATAAATTATTGAATTGAATTGAAACTCAAGTACCTAATTCTGTTTGAGTTTTAACCCCATTTTGTCATCTTTTTCCATAATGCACTTACACATTATGTAGTGTAATGGTTTATGCTCTTTTATGAAAGAGGAACCATTCTACATATTGATTTGAGATATTAATTTTAATAAATTAATAACCAAATTTTATAGAAATAAGAAGACTCAAAGGTTGTTTCCATCGATAAACTGACGATCATATCCGTGTGTCTGTGTTTCAGTTCAATGAAGAGACAAGTTTGAAAGTTAAGAATTTTAATTCTTCAATTTAAACTAATGATTTTGAAATGACAATCATAGGAAAAATAATCAACCTGGCAACCTTGTTGGACAATCTTTAACAGTTGATATTTTAAGCTTGCACAAATAGACCTTGTGTTGGATGTGCTAAGATTTGAGAATGATTTAGCTGATGAATAGATAAAATGGGCATGAAATGATTTGTGTAACATGACAGCTTCAAGTAAGTTGGAGAAGAGTAAAGTCAACAGATATTTCAGCCTAAGTGGATGAAAACTCTTCCAACAGATTGTTGGGGCAGTGATTGTACTCAGAGCAACTGAAATAGCTGAGCTGATTCCGTCTCTAAGAATCGGTCCAGCCACCCTTTGGAAGAAACGCATTTTAAATTGGCTGGTGTAGGTTGGTTGGAGTGGCAATACATCAACACCAAAAGCTTCACCCCAAGATTGAGATAGTTCCTCCACACCTGAATTCTACCGTCTCAAAACATCTGCAGGTGGTCCCTTGTTCCACTAGTCAGTCTGCTCCTCCAGTCTATCTACCGTAAATCCTCTACTAGAGGGACTCAAAATTCAGAGTTGACAATCCAACATTTTCTGACTGAGTCAACTGAGTTGCCTTGGGTATCTGGTTAGGATGCCTTCTAAACGCCTCCCTGGTGAGGTGATTCGGGCACGTCCAACCGGGAGGACAGGAGACCTAAGACCCAGGACGTGCTGGAGGAACGTTTCTCGACTGACGGGATATCTTAGCATTCCCAGAGAAGAGCTGACCCAAGGGACTGGGGAGAGGGAAGTCTGGTTATCTCTGCTTAGGTTGCTACCCCATGACCTGACCCCGGATAGTCAAAGTGGATGGATGGATGCCACAAACCAACCTTAACTCTGCTTAAAGAAGCCAACTGGACCACATCTTCAAATTGCATCCATTTAATTCTATGTAAACTAAAGCCATGTAGACAGGTGGTTTATGTAAAACCAAATTTCCTACCCAGCCCATAGCAAAAAGATTGGCTCCACACCAACATGTTTTCAGGTGCATTGTGAGGCGCAGTCATAGGCATGCCATGCCTGTAGGCGGCAGTACTTCCCAAAAGCGTTAGCATCTTGTTGCTTCTTGATGTGGAATAACGAGGCGGTGAGCAACAACTGTCCTTTATGTTGTCCTCTGCCTGTGGTCTTCTAAGAGAGCAGTAACAGAGCTTGTAAAAACAAGCTAGTGAATGTAAACACTAGTCACATTTCTGATGTCAGAGCATTTTTTTGTTGTGGACAGTGAACCTAAAATCAAGGTTATTTGTGTCCACAAGCAAATGCTGAAAATAGAAAATTTGTGTGTCTTCACTTTGATCGAAATTTTGGAAAGAATTATTTTTGTTGCTTTTTATCTTCATTTTAGTGACCTGATACCTCAATCTACAGTTTCCCCACTGGACCCCACGGGGAACACAATTATAAATCAAGTCATCACAACACGTGTAGACTTACTGGATAAAGTCCCAAACACCCTCACATTGTTTTGCAAGGTATAAGAGACGGAACAAAGGACGACAAATATGTTACACCTCCTATTTCAGGTTTGATCATCAGACAGATTCCTCTCCATTGACTTTCAGCTGAGAGTTGTGGAAGACATTTTCTAGTCTTTCACTTTAAACAAGGGACCACTGCTCCATTCTGCCAAGTCAAAGGCACGGTTCCCCTACCAAATGATTTCAAACTTATGTCAGCAAAGACAGCTTATTACCATTCAGGCCTTTTCACTACGCAGAGCTACCTCTGCAACACCCTCCCCGTGTGAGCCTATGAAGAAGGTGACCAAGCTCCTCTATTCCCAAAGGTTTGATCATGCTACTGCCCAAGCCATGGTCCACTTGTCCTGCCAGTTCTTGTCAGCACTCCCAAATCCCAGAAGACAACCAAAATCTGCAAGACTTCTTTTTCACATGAAGAAAATGACCAAATACTGTCAATAATTTCTGTTTTTTTTTTTTTTTTTTTTTTGTAGTTTCATCTTGCTTGCTATTTTGTCCAATCTAGAACCGCAAAGATTGAAAGTAAATAAATAAAAACATGTCATACCTCGTCGCCGTGGGCGGAATCAGCCCATGGCGGCGTGGCGTCACTCTGGCAGTGGTGGTAGAAGGAGTAAAAGTAGGTTGGAGATCCGTACTGAGCATGGAGATCAGCTGTGGCAACTGCTGGTGCCACCCATTGGTGGTCGGTAAAAAGTGCTACCAGCGTCTTCCTGCGTGTTTCTGCATTGTCGCGGTCAGCCCAGTCTGTGTACATGAACCTTTAAAAGAATGCACACGAAATTAGGTGAGAGTTGGTCTGTGAAAATCTGTAAATCTAATGAGTAAAGATCTTTGAAGACTTTAAACTTTGCTTTCAAGTTTAAAGTACTCTTTATATAATCCTTGTTGATCTCAGTGACATGTTACGACTTTTTGAGTTTCCGTAAGTCATAAGCACTGCTTTGTTAGTTTATCCACAGCCACAACGACAAACTAATCAAGTGATGCAACCCCCAGAAAGTAATAATTGCAAATCCACCAACATCAACTCAAAGAGAAAATTACTATAACTGTTTATGTTTATGTTTATGTATTTAGCAGACGCTTTTGTCCAAAGCAACTTACAAGTGATAATCGGCATATTGCCTTTGAGGCTAACAACAACAATAACAACAACTTGACATCAATCATGGGGAGTAGGGAACAAGGAATGGACAGTAGAGAGGGGGGACGGGTGCAGGGAGGGTGCTAGTTTAGAAGATGCTCTCTGAAGAGCAGGGTCTTCAGGAGTTTCTTAAAAGTCGAAAAGGAAGCCCCTGTTCTGGTATTGCTTGGTAGGGCATTCCACATTTGTGGAACGATGCATGAGAAGAGTCTGGATTGTCCTGAGTGTGGTGTAGGCACTGCTAGCCGACGATCCTGTGATGACCGGAGCGGCCGGGCCGAGACGTAAGCCTTTGTAAGAGGATTCAGGTAGATGGGAGTCGTACCATCTCGGACTTTGTATGCTAGTGTTAGCAATTTGAATTTGATGCGTGCTGCTAGCGGTAGCCAGTGGAGCTCAATGAACAGAGGGGTGACGTGTGCTCTTTTAGGCTGATTGAAGACCAGACGCACCGCTGTGTTCTGGACCATTTGAAGAGGTCTCACCGTACAGCCTGGAAGACCAGTTAGAAGGGCATTACAGTAATCGAGGCAGGAGATGACAATAGATTGCACCAGGAGCTGGGTGGCATGTTGTGTTAGGTATGGTCTGATCTTTCGTGTGTTATACAGCTGTTATATAACTGAGTCAATATTAGAGATATTGAGGCTAATATTTGGCATGATGGTAACTTAAAGGCATCATTAATACATACTCTATAACCTTCAAGTGTTCACGTGAGATCTTTGCAACAAAATGTTGGGAGTCAACCACGCCTGTCTTTCTGCAAAATATCTCATAATCCACTGGCCAAATTTTTATCACATTGTCAGAATAATGGAAAACATCACGGCATGAGAGAATCTTAGTTTCAATCGCTGTATTCCTTCAAGGACAGCTTGATAATAATTTGTCAGTTGTCTGGTTCAGCTACATTTACAAATAACCAGTTACTGATGAAATGGAACAAAAAGCATCAAAGTGGCAAAGGATTAAATAATAAATCTACAAAGAGGTTAGAATAAAAGAAGCTGCTTCTGGAGGACGGAGCTTGCAGCTCGAGTTTGGAGGGGGTGAGGTGTGTAGCCTCAGCTCTAAGCAAGGCAGTTTTCAACATTACAGATAAAATATGAAGGCATTCATAAGGAAGTTCTCGTAAAAGCATCAGACAGCCTTATCAGCCACAAACCGCGTTCCCCGATATGTGATGTAAATTCATTACCTTCGTTCAGACTTGTTTACTATCTGAGATCTTTAGAGATCGGTGCTGCAGCAGGGAAACCGAATCTACAGAGCGGCTGAACTTAGAGTAAGATGATGATCAGACTAATGAGTACAACAAATAGACTAATGGATGTTAATGTCTGGAAAGGAAGTCCAGCTATTGCTTTGTTGCTTAGCAACGCAGAGCTTTGTGTGTGCACGCTAATTCTTTTGTTAATGAGCTGCTGTCGCTGTGTGTCTCCATATCTGGGCTTATCTTGTTCAGAAATAATTATATTATTTGCCATGTTGTTGAGAAGTGGGTGGTGATTCGATAGTTTCATTCATAAACACCTGCTATGGAATTGATACCCGGACATCTGTTCAAAAGTTTCATAACAAAGGATATAAGCATCACAGATTTACCAACAAAATTATAAATGGATAATAATGGCATCTGACTTTCAGGTTTTTATGCATAGGTGGCATTTCAATGCCAATATGTTATGTAAATGATCACTATATGTATATGTATGTATGTATGTATGTATAAATGTATGTATATATATATATGTATGTATGTATGTATGTATGTATGTATGTGTATATACATATATATATATATATATATATATATATATATATATATATATATATATATATACATACCGGTATATATATATATATATATATATATATATGTGTGTGTGTGTGTGTGTGTGTGTGTGTGTGTGTGTGTGTGTGTGTGTGTGTGTGTGTGTGTGTGTGTGTGTGTATATATACTGTATATATATACACACACATATATATATAATATATATATAATATATTATATATATATATATATATATATATATATATATATATGTATGTATGTATGTATGTATGTATGTATGTATGTATGTATGTATGTATGTATGTATGTATGTATGTATAGTGATCATTTGTGAACTTTGGGGGTGTTGATGCATGAATTTTGCTTTTGCATTATTCAGCATCTTTTTGTCAAGAAGCACTCATATTTTTCCGAGGACCATCACATATGCAGAAATCACATCAATCTTTGGGGGCTGATCCCTTTTTATCAGCTGTTTTATGTCTGAAAAACATCTGCCAACAAATTAAACGCTGTTTTTACCTTCGGGTACAAATAAAGCTTTAGATTTTTTGAATTTTGATTCTGAGCTACTCAAAATATTCAGATTGTATTTTAGTTCTTTTTTTTTGGGGGGGGGGGGGGGGGGGCTGGGTGACATCACCAAAGATGCAGATCCTAATATTATTAATATTTAATTACCTTTTTTATTAATAGTGTAAATAGAGCTATTCTATATTCAATCGACTTTTTCGCTAATATCCGATATAGTGTGACGTTTCATTTTTGATACCAATATAAACCTGACACCCCACCCCTCATTGAAAAAATTATAAACTAAATAATTTTAGATAACTAGCATCATCTCCTATAAATCATATTTAAACTTTAAACATTATCTGTGCAAAGTAGGACAATTACTTCAGTTTAAGTAAAGCCACTTGTGCCAAACAAAGAGAAATATCTCAATAACTTTACCTTCATATTTTGAGGGAGTAGTTGACAAATTAAAGGTCTAATGTGTGCATGGTAGGTAAACATTGTGTCATTAAAAGAGTAAAAAATGATACTTATCCATTTCCATATTATCTGTATATATGTAAATGTCAATGTTGGCCAAAAATATTGCACTTTCCTGGTTGTAATAAAATGATAGCAACTACAGATTAAGTTATAGGGCAATAAATAGGTTAGTTAACATCAGAGCTTGTAAACTTATTCTAGTAAATGGCCATTCAAAATTATATACAAGGAAATATTAATGATGGATGCACGTATTCCCATCTAAATATACTTCTAAGAAAGGAATATAGTACTAATATTTCCAATAAAGACAAATATTTAAACTAATTATTAAATAAATATATAATAACTCACCGTATGCTTTCTCGTAATGTGTCTCGGCCTTCTGGGTATCCATACAAGCTATCCACAAAGTCCGACACAGCGAAGTCAAAGTCCTCGGCGGTGACGCCGTCCTCTGAGTCCACAATGCCCTCCACAAACTTCACCCCTTCACCCTGATTTACCCCCAGCATCACATCATAGTTCAGAAACTCTCCCTGCTCCATCAGAATCTGGGGGTCGTCCGGTATAACATCACCATCAATCACAGGGGCAAAAGCTGTGTGATATTTGGCTGGAGTTATGTTCTGCTCCACCAGTTCACGGTAACTCCGGCCCTGGAGGCAGGCAACCAGCTGAGTGCTGTCGTCGATGCCGCAGCCCACCCTCTCACCAAGCTGCCGAGCGTACTTGCTCGGCTGATAGTTGACAGCCCAACTGGCTAAAGCGCTGCCGCTCTGGATGATGGCTCTGTGGAAAAGGTCTGACACAGAAACACGCTAAGATGAATGCAAAACATTGATGCATGAATACGTGGACTGAGGCATGAGTGTGAATGCGTGGGCGTGCGTATCTGCACGGTGGAGTTTTACACAACGTACTTGTGCACAGAAAATAACTTCCAAATAATTTAGCCGATCTCACTTTAAATTTTCACTGTTTAAATGTGAAAGAATTCTCATTTTTTCATCTTTCTTACCTTCAGAGTAGTGGGACAAGGTGAGGAGGCTCACACAGGAAGCCCCAGCACCAGATCCAAACACTGTGACTCTGCTAGGATCTCCACCAAAAGCTCCAATGTTCTCCTTCACCCAGCGAAGAGCCTGAATCTGATCGAGCAAGCCATAGTTTCCTTTTGCTGCCTGGTCGCCCGTGCTAAGAAACCCTACAGGAAGGCAGACAGAAGGCAAGTAAACAGAAACCAAACATTCAAACTAACATTTTTATCATAAGTTCGATTTACGTAATCTACATCAAACAGCTGCAACCCACAAGCACACAAGTGGATGATTGGTTTGACGTGAGCTAATCGTGCTCCCACTGGAGAAATCAATCATGCATGACTAGTAAACGCACCTTTAAAGACCAAGTTGAATCATTTTCTTTTTTTTTTTTTTTTTTTTTTAACCGTATCCTGTCTGGCTGTGAAGCAAGCAGAATTGATGTCTGAATGCTGGTGACAAGCCTTACAGATTTACTCTCAGGTGGAGCATCAAAGCATCTGCTTTTAATGTCATGCCTGATACTTAAAACTTTATTGTTATTGTTCTTGAATGCTTGTAATTCCGACCAGACACGGAGACAGAGGTGAAAGAGAAAGGAAAAGAAAATGTGGGGAGGGGGGGGGGGGGGTCCACAAAAATAAACTATAATGAACAAGAGTCTGCTTCTAGACCTGCAGAAAAAGACAAAAAAAAAGCAAAAGAACAAAAAATGGGACACAACAACAATACAACAAGATCTAGCTATCACTGCGTCAACTTGATGAAGAAAATATATAATCAACATTGCTTAACTGAAGAATCACGATAATAAATCACAGTGCATTAAGTGCCCACCATAGTCTTAATCGTTTTTAATTTCAACACATCTGCAGTGGTCTCTAGTGTAAATGAATGCCTTGTGAGTGGATCTGTGTGGGGGAAAAAAAGCTCTGGCGCTCCTGTTATAGGAACTAGAGTTGACCCAGAGAAGAGGAGAGCTGAACACGAAGGTCTCACCTCTGATTGGCTAACAGCAAACGACTCCACCACTAACGTCGTTTCTTTTTTATCCCCACAAATAACACAAGCCTGAAGGAATTTTGCCGTGTTGTGGATTAGCTAATGCTAAGGGTTAGCTTCTATTAGCCGAGACGTGCTCTGCTCTCTCCTGGACGCTAAACGAACAACAGCCGTCGTGATCCAAGATGGGGGAGTGCATGACGCTAATTTACATTGGGACGTAGATCTGACTGGCTTTGGTAGTCCGAACATTTCTCCGTCTATTTCCTATCCAAGGCTAATGCAGGAAAAAGGAGTAGAAAACTATTTTCAGGTTTAGCTAGCATTATACATTCAGAGAGACCGATCGTGTTTCCAAAATAAAAAATAAAAAACGGTTTCTCAATGAAAAAAATATGTGCTTTTCCCACATTTTCTCAAATCTGTTAAAACCATGAAGGTACGTTCATATTTTTTGTAAATTTACACAAGCAGAAACCACACACACACACACACACCATTTTATCCTCAGCTTCCCCCTATTCCCCCACTACTGACGATATTAAGTAAACACTGAGGATCCTAATGGCTTGCTTCGCCACAGTATATCTCATTACTGCAGAAGCTCATTTCTGAGAACCCCGAGCACATAAGTGCACAATAAGCATAAAGGCAAGGCTAAAATAAAACATTCCTTCACTTATGTGCATTTTATCAGAGATTTCATCTAAGCAAATGGGGCAATATTATTATTATATTTATCCTGAACGGTTCTGGGATGACTTCTTGTGTGCTGTATTAAATCCCTTCGTGCAATGTTAGGGTGAATCTTTATTTGAGCTCTTTACATTTTCATAAAGGCATGCTCCACTTCTAAAACCAGTAACCACTTTTAAGTTATTACAGCTGGGTAACAAGAACTATTACTGAAATAGTAGTACATTGCTTTTTGTAAATAGGCTCACCTCATGCATCCAGCTCATGATGATGAAAAGAGGAGGAGGTGGAGGAAGGAGATGATGCTGTTACCCAAGGTGATGATGATGGTGATGATGAGAGTGCCGTGAACACAGACGATGGACGTGAAGACACAAAACAATGTGGGATTTTCTTTATCTTGCTCACAACAATATGCAGCAGCAGAAATAAGCATCGTGCAAAATAACTCAGCCACCTAGGAAGTCAGCGTCAAATAAAAAGCCTCGAAAATGCAGATTTTAAGACAGTTTATTCAACTGAAGTTCAATCCATTTAAGAGATCCTCTTTGCCTGAGGCAACCTGTTAGCTAAGTTGTTAAGGAGCATTCCACATGGGCTCAAACGCCCTGAAGCAGTCAGTCCCAGGACCAATTCTCAGCCTGCTGGACCTTCACTGAATATCTTTCCCCACATTTCCTGTCTTTGCTGCCCTTGTCTAATAAAAAAAATGTATTATCTACTTAATTAAAGCTGAGCCAGGATGTGACTTTCCATCTGGGAGCAAAACGTCTCAAATGAGCCTTAAATGCTTTCTTAGTCTTAGAAATAGGCACAAGAATGCTGCTCGAGCTTTCAGCTGTGGTTTCTTTTTATTTATTATAAAGTAAATCCAGTTTGATAGATTTTTATCAAGAGCTTGTTTTTATATAAACAAAAACTAATAGTATCATTTAGCCAATCTGATGCTTTTGGTGCACTTGACTCCTCTAACGTGCTCACAACTCAGTATTCATACGGTCAAGTGAATGATGCTTGATTCCATTAAACGCTTGAGCCCTCGTGTGGCCCCGCTCATGCTTTGTTGTTTCAATACACCGGAAAAAAAAACAAAAGCCTCAAGCGACTGGATTTTAAGTTCTTCTATTTGTTTCAGCTCCTGAGCAAAGCAGAGCTGTCTAAAATTAGACAATCCAAAGGGAATCCAAAATGTTGCTGTTGAGAGAGCACTGACTCAGAGAGTCACAGAGTTAAAAAGGATCAGATCTGAGTCGATGCTAGAAGTGAGGGGAGGAAAAGAAGGCTTCGGGGGGTCGATTTCCCCAAGGGACAACCGTTATGAACGTGTTTGGAGTATTTTTTTAAGTACAGCAAAAACAGAAATAAATAACAGCAAAAAGTGCTTTGGGGGGAAATAAATCACTCGTGGTATTTACATTTTATAGCTCAATGAAGGATTAAATAATCCTGATGGTGAAAAGGGAGTAAGTTTGTTTACAAAAAGTGAACTGTCGTGGTAAAAGTCAACGTAAACGAAGTGGTTATGTTTAACTTGTGAATCCAAAGATAATTGCAGAATTTATTCACGATCAAGCCGCATTAATCAAATTCTAAATTATGGGAAATAAAATCAGATGGTACTACAAAGTGTTAAGAAACACTGCATCTATGTTTATATAAATCCCGTTTGTTTATGTTTCCCACTCATAAATGTGGTTAAGTAATCTGTTTATCACTCCAGCCTCACCTAGCATCATGCAGCTCAGGTGAGTCATATCAGAAAAAGGAGTTCAAATGATCACATTTCTGTAGGAAATTTGTAATTATGTCATTAAATTTGATACAGGGGTAAATGTAACAACAGAAATAACAAATATGGAATAAATTGATGTTTTCTATAGTGACTTGTGGGTTCTATCAAGGGAGGCCTTTGGATGTGTTCTGACCATCAGTATGATCATGCTGAGCTTTATCTTCAAACAAAGTAGATGTTGCCACAGAGGCTCAGCGTTTCTATGACGATACCTCGAAAGCAGAATTTGAAGTATTTCAGATTTTTTTTCTCTGAAACATACATTCTTGCAAAAATATAATTAATGCAGAGTCACAATGCCATCATGCATGACACAACTTCTAACACTGAATAAAAAACTGTTTTCTCTTTTACCCAAAACTCCCAATCGATAGTTGAGTGTGATGACGATGACGTTGCCATAGCTCGCTAGCACGCTCCCGTCCATCATGTTCCCGGTGCCTTCAGAATACGAGCCACCGTGGACGAACACCATCACCGGCCGCTGACCCCCCTCCTCGTGGATGTCTGGTAGGTAGGTAGGTAGGTAGGTAGGTAGGTAGGTAGGTAGGTAGGTAGGTAGATAGGTAGGTAGGTAGGTAGGTAGATAGATAGATAGATAGATAGATAGATAGATAGATAGATAGATAGATAGATAGATAGATAGATAGATAGATAGATAGATAGATAGATAGATAGATAGATAGATAGATAGATAGATAGATAGATAGATAGATAGATAGATAGATAGATAGATAGATAGATAGATAGATAGATAGATAGATAGATAGATAGATAGATGATAGATAGATAGATAGATAGATAGATGATAGATAGATAGATAGATAGATAGATAGATAGATAGATAGATAGATAGATAGATAGATAGATAGATAGATAGATAGATAGATAGATAGATAGATAGATAGATAGATAGATAGATAGATAGATAGATAGATGATAGATGATAGATAGATGATAGATAGATAGATGATAGATAGATGATAGATAGATAGATAGATAGATAGATAGATAGATAGATAGATAGATAGATAGATAGATAGATAGATAGATAGATAGATAGATAGATAGATAGATAGATAGATAGATAGATGATAGATAGATAGATAGATAGATAGATAGATAGATAGATAGATAGATAGATAGATAGATAGATAGATAGATAGATAGATAGATAGATAGATAGATAGATAGATAGATAGATAGATAGATAGATAGATAGATAGATAGATAGATAGATAGATAGATAGATAGATAGATAGATAGATAGATAGATAGATGATAGATGATAGATGATAGATAGATGATAGATAGATAGATGATAGATGATAGATAGATGATAGATAGATAGATAGATAGATGATAGATAGATAGATAGATAGATAGATAGATAGATAGATAGATAGATAGATAGATAGATAGATAGATAGATAGATAGATAGATAGATAGATAGATAGATAGATAGATAGATAGATAGATAGATAGATAGATAGATAGATAGATAGATAGATAGATAGATAGATAGATAGATAGATAGATAGATAGATAGATAGATAGATAGATAGATAGATAGATAGATAGATGATAGATAGATAGATAGATAGATACCCATCAGTGTCACATAAGTAAGACACCTAATGAAAGTGTGTGTGTGTGTGTGTGTGTGTGTGTGTGTGTGTGTGTGTGTGTGTGTGTGTGTGTGTGTGTGTGTGTGTGTGTGTGTGTGTGTGTGTGTGTGTGTGTGTGTGTGTGTGTGTGTGTGTGTGTGTGTGTGTGTGTGTGTGTGTGTGTGTGTGTGTGTAGGGTCAGTCACTATGTATGCATGGCTGAGCCTGTGTCCTTACCACTTTCCTCCACAAGTGAAGGAGTAAACCCCGTAGCAACCGACGCAGGTGTCTGCTTAGTAAGTCCTGGTTCAACCAGCGGCATGCATGGGGGGGGGGGGGGGGGGGCATGTTTTAAAACCTTTATTTATTTATTCAACAAGGCTAAATCTGGGCCCCAACAGCACACTCCTATGTTTTAATCATTTGTCACAGCCAAAGGAATCGTTTTCTTAGCTTGTGTCTTAACCTCAGGGCACAGCGAACCAAAACACGTAATCTCAATCCCAATCCCACATGCATATTTAATCAGCCAAGGCCCTGAAAGTCAGTGCTCTGCGCCGGGTGACTCACCTTCCTCGGTGGGCACATAAATGTTGAGGTAGAGGCAATCCTCGCTCTGGTGAGTGAGGTATGTTGCTGCTATGTCCAGGTTTGCGGTTAGCCAAGACGGCATCATGTCTCCCAGCATGCTCCTCTCGTCCAGTGACTGCGGGCATACTGGAGCGAACTGCGTCACATTTCGTATTCCCGGCCAGGGCAGTGGTGGCTCCGGAGGCTGAAAGCGCCGATCCCCAGTGGGAGGCCTGGCGTACGGCACTCCCAAGTACTGAATGACAGGCCCGAGAAGGTCTGAGGGCAGAGGGGTCAGCATGCCACGGATTCGGCCCTGTGCCGTGGACACGACAGGAACAGCTTGTTCGGCCAACACACGGGCCGGTTGGAGGGAAAGGGAGAGCCAAAGGGAGAGGAGGAGGGCTGGAAACCCAGAGGGGGAGGAGAAGGATGTGTGACGGCAGGTCCTCAGCTGAGACATGGTGGTGAACAACGAGAAAGCAGAGGAGGAGGGACTAGATGCAGGTTCAGGGTCACGACTGTGCTGACCTCTCAGAGGTGGCCAGCTCGGACTCACAGCTGCTCCTCAGCTTGGCCCATAACACACACAACACATAGTCCAGTCCTCTGCTTGCAACCTCGTCCTCACGTGTGTGATTCTGTTTCTCTGAGAGTGCAGTCACTCAGTCAGTGAGTCCCTTAAATACGAGACTGTGTGTGTGTGTGTGTGTGTGTGTGTGTGTGTGTGTGTGTGTGTGTGTGTGTGTGTGTGTGTGTGTGTGTGTGTGTGTGTGTGTGTGTGTGTGTGTGTGTGTGTGTGTGTGTGTGTGTGTGTGTGTGTGTGTGTGTGTGTGTGTGTGTGTGTGTGTGTGTTAAAGTGTTTAGTTGTGGGGCTTAGGGTTGTCCTGGACTGCCAGTTTCAGCCAGTGTGCATGTCTGTGGTCATGTATGGTGTGAGTGAGTGAGTGAGTGAGTGAGTGAGTGAGTGAGTGAGTGAGTGAGTGAGTGAGTGAGTGAGTGAGTGAGTGAGTGTGTGTGTGTGTGTGTGTGTGTGTGTGTGTGTGTGTGTGTGTGTGTGTGTGTGTGTGTGTGTGTGTGTGTGTGTGTGTGTGTGTGTGTGTGTGTGTGTGTGTGTGTGTGTGTGTGTGTAGGGGGGGTGTATTTTGTTATGTAAACAGTAGCATCACTGTTCCTCTGTCACTTTCTCCTTCCGGTCACCCCCATAACAAACTCAAACTGCCGCCTGGACACAAGAAATAAAGAAGAGGGAGTAAGGAAAGATGCATTTGTGTTTCTGTCCAACAATCACAAAAGCAAAAACAGTCTCACACACACACATCATCATCATCATCATCATCGCACACAAACTATGCTACCTTGCTTGCTGTTCACTTTAAAAATAGATATGAGAGTGATAGATGGGGCAAACAAGATGTTGTCCGCTCAGCTTAACTTGGTGTCAGCCTGTCAGGGGGCTGCTGTGTCACATCTTCACTACACTGTGTTTCACAGATCACAGGACCTGTGTGGGGGAGAAGTGTGTGTGTATGGGGGGTAGTGTGGGTGTCACGTCACATGCTTAATTAAACCATGAATACACCACAGGGCTCCTGACCTGCATGTAGCATAAGGTTGGAAACATGTGACACAAGCACACGCTTGCTTCTCTGTTTCGTTCTTTATGTCACACACACACACACACACACACACACACACACACACACACACACAGCTGCTCTCCAGTCGACTCTCTCTCTCTCTCTCTCTCTCTCTCTCTCTCTCTCTCTCTCTCTCTCTCTCTCTCTCTCTCTCTCTCTCTCTCTCTCTCTCTCTCTCTCTCAGGGCCTGAGGACAGAATATTAACACATCCACGACCACGCTCGGGGGAAATCTCTATAACCTCACGGACACGTGCACCCACACGCACTCATTAAACTGTAACCCCCCACTTGTGTTAGAATTAGGGAGCCATCATCAGGCTCCCAATCCTCCTTTGTGGGGTTGTGTTGGCGCTGTCCAAGGTGCTAGTTAACATTCCAGTGGTGATCACACACACGCTGATGAATAACGCTCCATTTATCAAGGCACCCCCCACCCCACCCCCCACCCTCGTGTTTTTACATGGAAAGAACTGATAAAAGCAGCAAAAGAAATAAGAAAATAGGAACAAAAGATTAGAAAAACTAGTGCAATGAGGGGAAAAACGATTTCGCGTAAGACAGAATATCCTAACTCTCAATTGGTAATGAAGCTGACTACGGCAAAAACACACGCTCTTCGTTGCGTGCGCACACACACACGCACACGCACGCACAAATGCAAACCCTCAAGCTGCATCCCATCTGCAGTAAGAAAAAAAAAGCACCCAAAGAAGAAAATGTAAGGAAGCGGCATACCCAGGCGGGAGGAGAGGAGTGAATTCCCGCGGAGCATCTTCCCGTCCAGCCGCAGAATATTCGCCTCCTGCTGTCGCTGCTGCGGCTCCTCCGACGTGCCCGGGATGGGATATTGGGAGATATTCCTGTACCGCTGCTGCTCCTGCCGCCGGTGGTGGATGTGTTGGTAGTTGCACGTCTCCTGGGTGGAAATAACCCAAATAAAGAAAGAAGAAACGGAGGGATAAAACAGCCCCTGGAGCTTCTTTGGCTAAGTCCGTGCAACGAGAAAAAATATCATTCTTTAAAAATCTAGTTGCAATGAAAGTGTTTCCCCTTTGAACACCGGGCCCAGGACGTTCAAACGATCAATCTCACTCCCTCTGCTTCCTCTCTTTCTCCTCCCCCATCTCCCTCTCGCTGCCTCCCTTTCTTTCTCTCTATTTTCTCCTCCTAGATGCGATTGGACACTGTGGCAGGCAGCAGCTACTGATCCAATGATACGCACCTAGCTCTTGCGAGGACGCACAGACTAGGGGGAAAGGGGGAGAAATGGAGGGGATGACGCGCACACAGGGGTGCATGTTATTGAAGAATATTAGTGCATGAACACGGATGACTTCACACACCTGTAGACAATGCGTTACTGTCAGAAAATGACGTGTATTCACCTGCACACACTCGATCCTGCACGAGCATATGTGCACATGTGCACGACTGATGCTAGAGTACACAGTGACCTCTTCAGGACAAGAGCAGGAGAGGCTGTCCCCGTTTTATTATGCCATGACTGCAAGCAGCTTTCTGTGTGTGTGTGTGTGTGTGTGTGTGTGTGTGTGTGTGTGTGTGTGTGTGTGTGTGTGTGTGTGTGTGTGTGTGTGTGTGTGTGTGTGTGTGTGTGTGGTAATGCAGTTGGTCCGCAGTCGTTGCTAACTGTGTTTGGGAACACTCCTCACGTCAGCACACCCTGCTGCAGCAGCATTCAGGACTTGATATTCCTCTCCTCGACAATCTTCCATCCAGCCATTCATTTACTCCTGCTCCTGTCTGCTCCTGCACTTCTTTGCTTTGCTTATTCTTTCTGCACCACCCCACCCCCCCTCACTTTTCCTCAAACTTCCTCAAAGCCATGGACATAATTTTCACTTTAGAAGTGGGGGGGACACGGGGGGGGGGGATGGTGTATCTTTACAGTATGCTCTAATGGGAAACAGGCTTCAACACAAACGGTTGCTTTCCGCTTGGTCCTAGAGCTCAACTAGTGTCAATTTAATATAGCGTAATATTGTTTTTGGATGGTAAAAAGTGCAGGGGTCAAAACTTGAATTTGGAAAAAGTGGGGGGGACATGTCCCCCCCCCCCCCAAAAAAAAAAAATTACGTCCATGCTCAAAGCACACATAGACACACACAAGTCAAGTCAATTTGCACAGATAGGTTTTGAATGGTGATTTAAAAGGATGACACTGACTTGCAGGCTAAGCTTTGACAAAGTCGTCTGGCATGTGAAAGCAAAAACTGTCACTTACCTGTAAAAACAGGAGAAATGGAGCTCAGGCTCATATCAACTTAAAAAGGTCAGAGTTGAAGCTAGAGGTCAGAGCAATGGAAACCAGAAGTTACCGATAAACGTCCAGGGGGGAAAATACATCTCTCATCCTATTTAAACTGCAGGGCAATGAAAATAAAAATCCCTGCTAATAATTTGCGTGTAATAATGCATGTTGTACCTTCATGTGGTCCTGAAGTTCTTAAATAATGTTTCTGAGCCACTGGCACCCTACAACATGTCAAAGTGAAGGTTTCTCTGTGTTACACTGCATTTCTTCACAAGACAAAATGTCACACTGATCACGATGGCCTTTTATTAACACTGAGCTCTTGTTCTACGGTTAATATTACTTTTAAACAACTCTTGCTCCCTCAGAAGGACAGAACCGCTCAGGTAACACAAGCAGAGATTAAATTATGTTATGTTAATGATTTCTGTCATCTCTACGCTGTGCCGAAGCTCTGCGCCTGCTTGCTTCTGTAATCACAACACAAATGGAATATGGATCAGCCCAAGCTCAGTTTTTCTTCTGCACACTTGACTGGAGGTTTGTGAAAACATAAAAAAATCTTGTTTTCTGCTACAGTTTACTGCACTCGCTCCCTGTGCTGGTTTTGTGGGTTTGAGTCCCGGTGCAAATACAGAATCATGAAAGTTCTTCTCAAATGAACTTGTTTTGAAACTTTTTTTTATCCTGAAACTGTTGATTTTCTGTAAATTTACCGGTCTGGTAATGAGTCATTAAACGTTTCTGTCTTGGTCTGCTGATCAGAGCAGCACAAACGCTCAAATAATGGCATTTTCTCATTAATTTATTCTTTTCTTCTTTTTTTTTTTTGAAACTCATGCCCAATAATCCTAATCGAGTCCTGATTTATAGCATTAATAAGTAAAATGATGTCCAACCAGGAGGAGGCCTGAAGGAACCCAGGACACACTAGAGGGTCCGTCTCAGTTGGCCGGGGAACGCCCGATTCCCCCGGAGGAGCTGGCCCAGGTAGCTAGGGAGAGGGAAGTCTGTGCCTTCCTGCTCAGGCTACTGCCCCCGCGACCATGACTCTGGATAAAAATGAATGGATGGATGGAAAATATCTGTATTTATCTAATCAAATAAAGACAATGAAATGATGCTGAAAAGTTGGATGTTTCTGGGTTTGTGCCAGTGGGGTAAACAAAAGTTACTTTGCTAGAATTCCTAAAACTAGCAAAATAATCTAAATTTAGATTTATTTGCTACTTTTAAGAATTCTAGCCAAGCAAATTCTGCTTACCTGTTATGGCTGTTGCCTTTTTGTCCTGGGGATGGGAGCTCAGGACCCAAGTTGCTGTCATCTATTACCACTTAAGAGTCCAAAAAGGCACTCCAAGTATGGGCATTCGCTCCTCCTCCTCCCTTCTGCCTACACACCTGGACCCAGTCTCCTAATCACCACCTGAGGCGGTTAAAGGACAGCTGTCAGAAGCAGTGAAGAGCATTTTAGAGAACACAGATCTGTTGTTTCGAGTTGCTCAATTAGGGATTTTACTGACTTTTAATGGTTTTAGACTGAGGAGCTTTGGAACGCTCTGTCTGAGTGAAGCAGGAGCCTGAAAAGACTCTTATCATGAATAAGCTGCGAATGGCGCTTTTCTGTCACAATGGGTCAACGGACCTCTTGAATAAGAAGTATTTCTGTTTCCAGTCAGTAAATTGATATTGGGGGACATTTTATCATGTCTGGAGCTTTGGTTTGATTTTAAATCCTTGTGTGATAAAATCATGGGTTGATTTTGCCATCAGGCAAACGCCTTTTCAACGTGACCCCCTCCTTCACACCCTAGATCAACAAAAGGGGTCGTAACGTTACCCCACTGGCAGGTTTTTTAACTCAAAACAAGAACATTTGGATCATAATTAGGAATATTTATCTTGTTTTTAGTAATGCAGTTTTTCTAGAGAATATTTTTTTTTCTTTTTTTGACAAAAGTTAAAATGTCTAAAAATAAGTTTTTTTTTTTTTTACTTCCTTAGAAATCAGTTTTTGCCTTTTCATTCTTAGCTGCAGCTTTTGTCTGCAGGCACGTCTGGAAACGCAGGTAAAGAGACGTTTGGACAAAGTTCCTGCAATCATGATTGTCTGACTGCGTCCTTGACAGCTACGCTATTTTATTAAGTTTGCAACAGCACGTGCATTTCACACGACAATCAGGAGAAAAATGTGCTCAATGTCTTGCTTATTACTTTCCTTTTTGCTCTAGCCCAACACTGTGGGCTTCTATATTTGAGCTTTGTTGCACAATCAGCGACGGCTACTTGTAAACAATTCTGCCGTTGGCATGGTTACCCATTTAGACTGCTGTAAAATTTTTACCAGACAAAGTGGAATGACCTCTCTTGCGCTAGCAGAGCTTTAAATGACTATATATATATATATATATATATATATATATATATATATATATATATATATATATATATATATATATATATATATATATATATATATGTATAAGTTATAAAATAAACTGAATAAATTGATGTGTGGGAACAACCAGCACATCCACATTCATCCATGCATTTTCCTCATCCAGACTTGATGTTTTCCCGCGTGTGACAGAAGATTCAGGAGAAATACATCAGCCGTAGGACATAAAGGACATGACTCAAACTGAGAACTACTGTGTCAGGTATTTTGTTCTTCATTCTTATGGATTTGATGTTGAAAAAAAGCTGATTGTGCAAGAACAGCAGTGAATAGCTCCAAACTTGATGACCTGGATTTTTTTAGTTGATGAATTTAAGCTTATTGTCACAAATGCTGTCATTAAGAAAAGATCAATCCAATAAAATGATTGTTGAAAAAGCAAAACACCCATCCTAATTATGAGTAAATCATACAGCAACTAACCCATTAAGGAAGGACCAGAGTGATGTCTCCAGGTTGGGAAGTTTGCCTCTAGTGGAGAAGTTCAAGTATCCTGGTGTCTTGTTCACTGGGCGATGTTAGATTAAAGCAAGGGATTAAGATTTCCACTGCAGTAAGAGGTTGATGAATCCAATAATTGGGGTAAAGAAGGAACTGTGTAAAAAGGCAAAGTCCTCAAAATGCTTTTCATCTATTTCCTATCAGAAGCTATTGCTGGAACAAAACAAGTACTGATTTCCATGATATTGATATGGTAACAGTGAAGAGAGTAATTGATGGTATTGTAATACCGCTACAATATATTTTTAATTTGTCTTTTCAGGAAGGGGTTTTTCCACAACAAATGAAAGTAGCAAAAATTATCCCCATTTATAAATCAGGTGAAAAGCATTGTCTTACAAATTATAGACCAGTGTCGGTACTCTGCCAGTTTTCTAAGATATTGGAAAAACTATTTCTAAAAAGACTTGATAACTTTGTGGATAAACATGATCTGTTGGCAAATTGCCAGTATGGGTTTAGAAATAACAGATCAACAGTTTTGGCATTGATGGATTTAATGGAAGAAATAATTGAATGTATGGATAACAAGAAGTATGCACTTGGAGTTTTTCTAGATATAAAAAAAAGCATTGGATACTGTTGACCACAAAATTCTAATAATCAAACTGGAGAAATATGGGTTTAGGGGTGTGGTATTGGATTGGGTAAAAAGCTATGTGATGAATCGACAGCAATATGCGCAAATAAATGAGTTTAAATCTAAATTGATGGATATTGAATGTGGAGTACCTCAAGGATCAGTATTGGGACCAAAAATGTTTATAATGTATATAAATGATATTTGTAAAGTATCAAAGATACTAAAGTTTGTCATTTTTGCAGATGATACCAATATACTTTGTTCAAGTGGGGAATTTCAACAGGTTGTGGAGGTGATCACACAGGAGTTAAAGATATTAAAGAAGTGGTTTGATAGAAACAAATTGTCATTAAATTTAAATAAAACAAAATTT